AATAATCACATGTTTAGTGCAAAAGTAGCAAATTTTGCATCTTAGCACAAGACAATTGTTGCTAGCTATTTTGCTAAAAAATAGAGCTATTTTTAGATGCTACAAAAATCCGAGGACTCTGAAATATATATAAGAAATTTTATCCGTATATTTCCATTATTTTTCCTTTTGTGAAAACTCCGTGAATCTGCAACATGACCGACAAAATCTAGACAAGCCGAATAATCTCTATGGTTCGTAGCCAGTATTTAAAATTAGCATGCGGAATCTGCGGAGTGCAGACTAAATATTCTTTCGCAAATATTTTTTTCTAAACATATGCGGATTCCGCAAGTATAAAAAAAAAGGTTCTGCAGATTTTTTCATATTATATATATATATGTATATTATTCCGCAGATTTTATAGGGTGAATCTGCTGATGTTGATTATAATTTTTTTAAAAAATATAGAAACTAAAGTGAAATTACGATTGTTGGGGATTGATATGCCATATATTAAATAAAAACCTCTATTAGTGCACTCTTTAGACCAACTTCACCAATGTACACTTAGAGGACAATAAGGAAAGTGCATTTATAGAGGTTATTTATATATTTGGCTAGAATTTAAGTGTGCATTTATAGAGGTTATGTATATATTTGGCTAGAATTTAAGTGTGCATTTAGAGAGAGAGCACTTAGAGAGATTTACTATACATAGAATCACATAATACCGTAATTATAAAGTTGGATTTTTCTCATATTAAATGAAATTTCCGCAAACATTTTATTAATTAAAAATGTAATCCGCAAATTAATATGCTAATTCCGCAACTTTTAATAAAGTATTAAATGTATTCCGCATATAATTTTAAAATCCAATTTTAAACACTGTTCGTAGCCCTTCAAGACTAATTCCATCTCGGGTCGTAATTCATACAAATACCAATCAGGTTTTTTGTATCAGTGAACATGGTTCTCCTGAAAGTGACGGATGCTTTCAATACATCCATATCTTTGAAAGTGCTCGAGAACCCGACTTTATAAGATATGCTAATACCTAAGTGTTCGAAATGATAAGTCTTCTAAAATTTTTTTTTTAACTATTTCCGGCGAAAATGCTTTGAAAGTATCATATTTCTGTATTCAATTAATTACCTGATCGTATATATCAATTTTATTGAATCTATTATGTCGAAATCACAAACTTAATCGAATCGGCTGAAAAATCATTCGGCCAATTTAATATATATATATATATATAATTTTATAAAAATTTACATAATTCCAGATAAAAATTGGCCGAATGATTTTTCGGCCGATTCGATTAAGTTTATATATCTACGCAATTTTAAGATCAGGTGATTTAACAAAACTTTAGTACGCCAAACTTTTAATTATACTGATATATTGAAAAACTTCATCACTTTTAGGAAAACCGTGTTTATTAAACCTGAATATATATCTTAAAAACTTTAATGAAAAAAATATAATTGATATTTGTGTGAAGATGGAGCTTTGATTAGACCTAAAATTAGTCTTATGACAATCTGAAGAGCCGTATATCAATATCAACTAAATATAAAAACCAAAAAGTAATATATATATAAACGAGCAATTTTTAGATGAAACAGTATAGAAGATACATTACATAGATATATAATATATTTTATATATTAATCATGAATTAAAATGATAATAATTTTCGAGTAAATGATAACTATTGCAATTGTATTTACTTAATATGCTAAACAAATGTGAAGATTTCTTGAATAAATTAAAAATCGGTGATGCTTCAACAATTATTTCACCGATATCTCATTTAACCGACATCACGTTAGCATTTGATGTGATATCGAAATGAGCTGTTAGTGTCGGTAGAATAAGGCGGAACTTTAGATCAGCTCTACAAGAGCAAGAGAGTCTAGAGGTTATATCCGGATATTTTAATAGAGTATAAAACTGGTATTAATATTACAGCTGTTCTCATAAATTCTGGGACAAACTAAAAATTTGCTCGTTTCCCGAAATCTCTTCGGTTTCGTCCTAAAGGTCACCTAACTCTTCGGAATCACGTCATTGTCTTCGGAACTTCAGTCCGGAAATAGCGATGTATTTTTTCAAAGAGTTAGGTGACCTTTAGGACGAAACCGAAAAGATTTCGAGAAACAACAAATTTTTTGGGTTGTCCCAAAATTTATGAGAACAGCTGTAAAGGTTATAACCTTTCGGGTAAAAAGTGTGACCACTACCCTAAGTTATGTCGGCTAAATGGTTGTAGGGAAACGATTATCTGGAAAATGAGCGGCTACGGAAGCAGATACGCACAAGTCAAAAAAATTCTTACTAGAATTTAGTCAGAAGGCATTACTCGTTCTACTTGCCTTTTGATTTAAATAATGCTTTAAAAAGAGGTGAGACACTTTTGTGAAAGTTTAGTTTTTAGATGTAAAGTTTATAGATGTAAAATTTGTATTTCTAAATTAGCTTATCTGAGAAAATGATTTAATCACGATGATGAATTACCGTAAAGCCCTGAATATAATTATTTCGAAATTAAGCAATCCTTCTAAAAAAAAAACAGCCAAAATGGGTGGCTTAGAGGGTAGCTTATATTCGGGACTCTGCAGTATTATAAATGAGTGTCAGGAGAAGATGAGACTTTGGGCTTTGCCAATTTGGCCCTTTAAAAACTTGATAGTAAAATATATGATACGTAATCAATATCATCTATCACTGACCAGATTCTTCACAGGCTGAATCTGATAAGATAAATAATAAATAATGAAATCTGTGTCTCTTCTCCCATTGTCAGTACTATACACTTCGGGATCATTTCGGGTTCATTTCAGGTTCATATACATTATTTCAATCTTTTTTTTTCTATCTCAGTGAACGAGTAAACTTCTATTTTTTTTATTCATTTTATTTATTAATATTATATACTATATATTTCACATTGCATATTTATTTTTTCAATGATATTGTTCTTTATCTATCAATACCTTCGTTAATTATTCTTACATATGGGATACTGGTATTAAAGCTAGTTAGTTGGGCTAAACAGCTAGACACGATACGATTAGATGATTCATTGTTAAAAATTTTTAAATACTTGAACTGGTTAAACCTTGTATCTATATAACGTACAGTACATGGGAGTTATTTGAAAATCAGGTTCAGGAAGTTTTTCATATTCTTGAAAACTTTCTTCAAATATTATTAAAGCTAATCTTTCCATATATGTGTAGCTCCATTTTCTGCAACCTTTTGTTTAGAGTATAAATTATATTTTAGAGAAATCACCTTACCTAAGATAATATTAGATTTTCTACTAGGGATTTGATTTGACCTGATTTAATCATAAATTACAGTTAAATTCATAACTGATAATATATAGTAGTGTTATAAGTTCATCACTTTAGCAAATTATTTTTTTATTAAGATTTTATCTGATGAATCACCTATTCATTGGAGTAATAGCAGTGTGGGTGTGTGACCATTGTACAATGGTTCACGCCGAATTCTAAGTGTATCAACCTGAACTCAAAGGCTTTAGGGATGATTCTTTTGTTTAAAAAATATATACATTTTTTAAAAAAAAAATCATTAATGATTTGACCAAAGCTATTATCGTTATTTTTATCTTTACCCAAAAACTGTAACAATAAACTATGGGAAATTCACGGTGATCCCCCACTTTTCCGGATTTCCAGGACTGACACCAGTCTGATTTTTTTGATCATCATGGCTTTTATGTGTCATGGGGATCTTGAAATTTCCAGTTTTCATGATTTCTGTGATGATTATCGAAGGATTCTAGATTGTTTATTTTGAAATCAGTAAAATTTTTAAAATCTAATTCTCACGTTGCTGTGATCTGCAGAGGTCACAAAGATATTTCCAAGATTCTTTGAATTTCCATATAGAGTATATGGAATCGTTGTTCACACGTTTTTGTAATTTTTGCGAATCCGACTCACATAGGGTATATGGAAATCGTTTGTTCTCACGTTTTTTCTTTTTTTTCTGGATATAATGCAGCCAAGAAAAAACTTGTAAATAATAATACGTGATTGAAAGAATATTATGAATCGTTCTCGTTTAATCTAGTAATATGAAAATCAAATTACAAGTTTTCTTCTTGGTAGCATCGTTCACATTGAGAATTAATGCTATATTGGTAATAAACTTAGAATCTTTATTATTTCAAGATCAAATCTATTGGCTATTTATTATATGGTCTCGTTCGTGCACCTTGCAAGTTATAGATCGAACCTTTAAGGTAATAACAAATTTTTTTGTAGAATATCTTTTAGATGTAAATTTGGGAGCTCACATGAGTTTGAATTTTGTTACCATAGTTCAAAAGAAACTATAACTTTGAAAGTCCTTACTGGTATAAAAGTTGAATGATCTTTCACTATATAGTACGTACGCTAAAAGGGTTACATAATTAATAACTATAACGATAACAATCCTTACCGTTACCGTTACTGTATATTATTTTTATGTGCTGTTATATTATTATTAATATGCAATTAATTTAATAATCAGCCCTTACATATGATAATTATGCATCGTGTATGGGGAAAATACCAAAACCACGTTTTCGATATTTTTATCAGGAACACATCAAAAATCGTAATTTTAGTCATCAAAAGCGCATAGAGAGAGTCCTCCGCTTCGCTCCGAACAATAATTTAAACCATGTGATAAAATATATTCAGAGCTTACGCGTCTGTTCCCCTGCAGGGCCAACAATATTTGCTATTGTTACTATCATTGCGCATACATACCTGGCTTCGCTTCAACAATGAAGCATATACTGTACACGTAATGTACGTACGTATGTGCATGTGTAGATTTGAATATTAGGACTACATATAGCAGTATAGTTTATATATAAATTAATTCCCTCCGTCAACAATGGTTTGTGAATAACGTTATAAGCGGCGAAGTATTTTCAGGAGGAATCCACGTTTATATGTTGCCTTTCCTGATTCCCAACAACTAAACTCTAAATAAGGCTAACAAAAGGGGGTAACATCAAATTTCCAAAAATATCACGATAGACATATCGATATTTTTATATATTTAAAACCTATTTCTGAAAATTAATTCCACAGATCTTAAAATTAAAGATGGCAGTAAAATTCCTTGAAAAACTTTCAGACAATTATCTTGAAATTCTTGATGACAAAGATGATTTTAATGTAATAATTAATACCGGTGAACCTTCAAGCACTAAAGCATTTCAGGCTCATTCAATTGTTCTACGACATAGATCTTTATATTTTCGTAATGAATTAACGAAAACTCATAGAGGTAAAAATAGTATTAAAACAATTAATTTGAGACACATCTCTGCTCAACAATTTGAATTTATTATTAAGTAAGTTATATAATGATTTATTTTTAGTTTGATTTAAAAAAAAAAACCAAAAAAAAAAATTAATATATATTAATTTTTAATAAAAGGTATATTTATGGCGGAATGATTTTGCTGGAAAATCTCGACACGTCATTTATTTTTGATCTTATGTTAGTGGCTTGTGATCTTCTTCTTGAAGAATTATATAAATACCTTGAAACTCATTTAATTGAAATTAAAGCTAGCTGGCTTCGTTTACGTTTCGCACATGTTTATAAAACAAGTTTCGAAAATAATAAACTTCAAGAATTACAAAAATGGTGCAACGACATTGTAGCAAAATATCCAAGTAAGGTTTTTGAATCAGAAGGTTTCACTACATTTCCAGAAAATTCATTAGTATCGCTTCTTGAACGAGATGATTTACAAATGGAAGAAGGAAAAATTTGGGATCATATTATTAGATGGGGAATCGCTCAAAATCCTAATTTACCACCTGATTCTAAGGATTGGTCTCGTGAACATTGTTTAGCCTTGAAGATTACTTTACAAAATTGTTTACCTCTCATTCGTTACTTTCAAATGTCTAATGAAGATATTATTGATAAAGTGAAACCGTATAAAAAAATTCTTGAAAAACAACTTTGGGAAGATATATTAAGGAAATTCCTTACTCCAAGTCGTTCGATAACAACAACTATTCTTCCACCTCGTTCACCATTTTCATCAGTGATTACTAAAACGCACGCAGCAGAAATTGCATCATGGATTGATAAGAAAGCTGAACCTTATACGGATGGCAATAATCCATATGAATTTAAATTACTTCTTCGTGGAACTAGAGAAGGTTTCACTTCAGAATCATTTTGGGATTTATGTGATAAACAAGCAAGTCTTGTTGTTGTTATGAAGGTTAAAGATACAGATGAAATTATTGGAGGATATAATCCTATCGGTTGGGATAAATCAGTTAACAATTGGATAAGTTGCGAAGGTACCTTTATTTTTTCATTAAAAAATGGAACTATTGAAAATTCTATTTTAAGTCGTATAAAAGATCCACAATATGCAATTGGAAGTTATTCTGATTGTGGTGCTCAACTTGGCCGTGGACCTGATCTTTTAACGGGAAATAATTTTGATCAAGAAAAAAAATGTTGTTGTAATCAAATTTCATACGAAAAACCAATTAGAAGTACAAGAGATTGGTTTTCTGTATCTGAATATGAAATATTCCAAATTTATGAAAAAGCCTAAAATCAATTTAGCTTATTCACAATTCATAAACGATTTATTCATTATATACTTTTCTTGCATTAACTCTATTAAATTCATATGAAACTAAAATATTGATAAATCTTTTAATAAACATAATTTCATTTTTATCTAACGCTTATTTTATAAGTATTCTATTACTAATCTGATACGAATGTTCAGAAGATTTTGATGTCACATGGTAGTGTATAAATTTGATTTCGTGCAAGACCGAAATGTTATGTCGATTATTCTACGCAATTCATTATGCGAATGAAATTTATTAGCGATAACCTTCTTTCAAACAAAAAGAAAAAGATTTATTGCACAATCAATATTACGTTTTGTTTCTCTGCTTATGTTGTGCCCAGTGTTCGAAATTAGTGTTCTCAGAGTTCTCATGAGAATATGGTTATAAGTTTGTGAACAGTAAAAATGTTTTACTGTTCACTATTCAAAATTTTTTGAGAACAGTAAAATAAAAATAGTGTTCTCATAAGTGGTAGATAGATGGGGTCCCTTCAAGAACACGGAACCCAGTGATCATCACACACAAGTGCCTAACCCTAACTTAGGCCGAACACTTACCGTATAAGCGCGAAATAACGCGCAGGGCGTTATTTTGAATAATGGCCCGAATTAAGCTTAATTTAGCTGTTAAGTCAAAATTCGACTACGCGTTATTTCGCGTTTATACGATACTCATGTGATGAGATTACCATGAAAATATCGGGATCCCATCAACTCACCGACAATCACTTCGTAGGTACCACATTTCACTGACAATTACTTACCGACAAGTTCATTTCACCGACAGTTTATTTCACCGAAGCTCATTTTACAGACAAAGTAATTCTGGTCAATACCATTAAAGTTAGGTTAGAACTAGAGTTAAAGTTAGTGTAATTTATAACAAAAACTTGTCGGTGAAATATACTGTCGGTAAAATGAACTTATCGATGAATAATTGTCTGTGAAATGTGGTGTCTATGAAGTGATTGTCAGTGAAACAATACGGACCCGAAAATATCACTGAGTTCTTGATCTTGAAACCACCCAATAGATGAATAAAATAATAGATGACAAAAGTCATGTTATTAGGTAGTTAGTATGTAGTTTTTTTTTTTTTAGTGAGCATAAGAGAACATTAACAGCAATTTTGAGAACGCTCATAGTTATTATAGAAATTTCGAACACTGGTTGTGCCTGTGCCTAAAGTCGAAATTAGCCCCTGAAATTGCAATTTCAGGCACGACACTTACACGAATGTAGTTTTTTCCAAAAAAAGAAATGTTTATCGTTATGAAAAGTTTGCCATGAACTTTTTTTATTTCGCGAATAATGTGTTTAAACAACTTCGTTATATAATTCTGGTTTTCTAAAATAAAGGTATATATATATCAAGGTCCAACAGAGTTCTAGGTATATTTATATAAGAGTTTATAATATTATGAGGGCCTAGAACCACCAAAACTAGTATAGCTAGTATAGCTAGTATAAGTGTATGTAACAATAACCAGAAGCTACAACTACTAATAATTGCTATAAAAAGAAACAGGAACATACCTGTTAAAGAACTCTAAACATCTCTAATATAATTCATAACTAGGTTTTGATCTATTTTAATCTAATTTGCTAAAATCTAAAAATTTTCTTTTTTTTTTGCTAAGATGCATTTATAATTTACATTAAAAACAGTATTGTTATAAAATCTTAAAGATAATGCAAAAATAATACCAAATAGTATTGTCTATTTCTATACAATACAGTATTAGTTTAAATATAAATTATAGATACCATATTATAGTGACTAGATTTTATTGATATTTATAATACATATTTTAGATTTGAAAATTTATGTATATTTAGAAGAATACAACTAGTAACTGCACTTTTAGCATTATATATACTAGATATCTGTACTAGAGCTGCAGGTGAAACTACTTTTCAATAGTGCACCTTTGGTGCACTAGGTGAATTGGTGAAACTAATATATCAATGGCGAAACTAGAATTATATCTTCAATAGTATACCTGTTTTCTAGTAAAATTAATTAGTTTCACTAGCAACACAAACTAAAATTACTTATTTAAACTCTCTAGTTTATTATCTCTATTAAATTTCTAAATTTATATTAATATTTACTATAGTATTTTTTTTATCT